GTTGTTTTCAGTTTGTCTATTAACAGGGGATCATATCATGCTTAGGGGTTGGGGGTGGGGGGTCGGGGTTTGAAATCTGTAGGAGGGGGAGGGTTTGTATTTACCTAAGGACTGGACAGCATATGAATGCCATAATGAACCATTATAATTTRTTATCTTAGAATTTCTTGGCTGCTTAATTATTTTGAATTCTCTTGGTCAACATATCCTTTATCTAATGTGGTTTTCAGTATGGTCCATACGATGTACAAGACCTGGAACCTGGAAAAACCATGAAATGGTGTACCTGTGGTTTAAGTAAGAAGCAACCCTGGTGTGATGGTAAGGAAAAGTCTTCAATAACAACCTGAATGGAAGTGCACTTTGTAATATATGAGAGGAGGGATGAGAAAAAGGTTTTATTGGGGGCTGAATCAGGGAGAAGGCTATTGGAAATCAATTAAGGATCTAGAGAGTAGCTGTTGCACACTTGCCTTTCACCTTTGGGATCTCAGGTCCATTATAGTACAGTTCTGTCTCTTGCTTGATTGGATGGTTTTGATCAAGGTTCTCTGGTTTTCCTCAATACACAAACCTAACAATCTTAATTCAGTGAATTAGCTGTGTCCTGATGTTGTTGTTTCAGGGCATCTATAAAATTTAGAGGGTTTCCACAGGTACTTTCAACATCCCTCTACCAACTTTGTCTTTTCCTTTGTCCAGGAACTCACAAAGGAACTGGCTTCAAGTCCCTTAAATGGAAAGTGCCAGAAACTCCCCAGAAAATGTATTCCATTTGTGGATGTAAATACACAGGCTCACCACCTTTATGTGATGGAASTCATAATGACTTGCCATGTAAATTCATTGCTCAGAAGGAAGCTTGTGACAAGACTCATAGTAATGATAGTAAACTATGTACTGGATGTGGCTGGGTGCCACAATGGTGACTTTGGACCATTTAATATCTTTTAACATTTTTTTTATTTTGAATAATTTCATACTTTATAAGGAGCAAAACAAAACATGTCAAATCAAATGATGTTATTTAAAAAATTGTAACTATGGAGAAAATGTGATATACTTTAATGTAAATTGTTTATTAGTTTTGTTGATAAAATATTTTACTAATCTATTAAATAATCCATAAATCTATTWAAAAAGAAGATACACGGTTTTATGTTAGTGTTGCTTTTATTACAAAAAGGTTTAAATTTGTTACAAAACTAATGCATTATAACTGAATGCAGGTTTGACTGAATACAAAAATATTCTTGTACAAATATATATTTCTTTTTTATTGCTTATACAAATTTTTTCTTCAGAAATTTTCACGAAAAATATAAAAATATGAATTCATTTTACTGTTGAAAGCCATGGAAGTGTCGCGAAGCCATTAAGTGTTGCGAAGCCATTAAGTGTTGCGGGGCCATTAAGTATTGCGGGGCCTTTGCCTCGAAGGTATTTGAATGTCATGAGCTTTAATAATACGTACAAAATAATTCATTTAACTGCGCTGCAGTAGATTTCATAATAAGAACATAGTGCTCTACGTTATAGTGCATTGATACAATGAACAGGTTAAACCGGTTTGTCCGATTCCTTTCTATCTAAGCCTCCATCTTTTCTTGTGACCCTCGCTCCAGAGCCAAGAGGCTTAGCATCAGTTCTTTGAGCACCATCAATGTCCACTCATCCTGCTCCTTTTGGGTTGCCTTTGGTTGCATGGTGGGATACACAGGCATGCTGTTCGTCAMGTGGTAGTTCAAATCATTTTGCTGATGAAGATAATAACATAGATTAGAATGTAGTATATGTTATGTGAGAGTTATAAAAGTCATGTGGGTCTTTTATAAGGCATGGTGAATTTTAGTCACTACCTCACGTCATGTCGCAAAATGCTTGTAACGTTCTGCAAGATGCACCATCCTCGATGACACAGGAAACACGACTTACTTTGTAGTGCGCAGTGCGCCTTGGGATCGCATACGTATTGCATCACTTCACGGGATCGGAATGAAAATTATTATATATATATATTTATATAATGAGTAAATTCCAGGAAATACGACTTCAGGGKTTTTTGTAGTTAATTATCATAGGAAAATAAGAGAAGAGAGCGCGCAGGGGTAATGTGCTGTAAGACTGCATGAAGTGAAACATGTTACGTTATATACTTACGATATGACGAAGCCACGCCAAGATATCATTCACCATGTTAGTAATTTCTTGGAATTGATCCTTAAAGTTGCCAGGGCTGGTAATCTTGGACTCGTGGGCAACGATTTCTTGAAACATTTGTTTGAACTTGTAGAACAAAACTACTTGTACATTGAGAAATTCTTCCTCCTATTAAATAATGAAATTCCGTCAACACAGTCACAGTTACGATAACCATTTAATGGAGAACTATTTCAAAGTAAAGCCATTTTATCAGTGTTACGGTATGCGGTACATCATACAATAACCGTTCTTAGGGGAAGGCATATCAGTGTTACGGCATGCGTACATCATAGAAAAAGTACGGTTCTTAATGGGAAGCCATTTCAGTGTTACGGCATGGTACATCATACAATAAGTTAACGGTTCTTACGGGAAGCCATTTCACTGTTATTATCTTATAATAAATAGTCTGTACTTACCGATAAAGCGGCATAATCCATAACAGGTTCGATCCCCGGTAATCTAATGAAATGATCGTAGTTTTCATTCTTGAATCGTTCCTTCGCCTAAAATAAAATGATATATATATATATATATAAATATTACTGTATCAAAATAAGTTCTGATTACAGAATTATTCAATTTTCCTTTTGAAAATAATGAAATTGAAATTAGTATTTAAATAGATGACGATGATCTTGTAAGGTCTTTCAATTTCATTTCCCTTCTTCCCCCCCCCCCCCCCCCCACGGTGACTAAATAATCCTGAATCACTGAAGCAATACTTACGAACTCAAAGTGAGTGGTGCTGACAAGGTGCATCAATCTGAAGGATTCTTCTCGGACGAATGYGTACAGCTGTCTTGGCTTATCTGAAGCCCGTAGGGGTGCCCCACGGGATGGGCATACGCACAACAGAATGACAAGTATGGTTACCATGAAAACTATAAAAAAATTCAAAGAATGAGAACTGTTCAGAAATAAATTCCTTTATACCTAGATAAATTTTTTATGTCTAACTTTTTTATAATCTGTTTTTCAGAATAATTAAAATTAATTGCTAAGTGCCACAACAACTGTTAAATTTGTATAAAAAAATGAATAGTTTTAACAAAAACTTGTACATTATTCTTTTTTACAAATAGAACGAAAAACGAGTGGTCAGATGAACATTGACAACTCAACCCTTTATAAAACTTTTTATTATTACCACAGTAAATCCTATCAAGAAAACATTCCGGGAAAAAACTAATAAAACGGAGGGAATTTTAAAATGAACTTACCCCAACGAGTGGCCATTTTCAAGTTCTTTCAATAGTTTCCAAATCTTCGTGGTGTTAAATTTCTTGTGTCTTGATCGAATTACAGTGATAAATGATACTCTCATTGTCGATAATTATATATATCTTACGCACCGACTAAATAAAAAATAGTCATAGGCTAAATAAAATATACTACCACGCAGSCTTTGGCGATAAAAAGCTAAAAATTCCCTTGGAGTGCGATTGGAAATTATTATTCCCCTTCCGATTACTTCCTACATTTTCCAGTCAAAGAATCATAGAATCCACTTCCGGTGTATTTACTGGGCAGCCCCGCTTCAAAAATAAAATATCCCCGAGACAGAAATACATCGAACAGTCCATTCATTTCTTCATTGAGGCCTATTTTGTAACTGGGGGAGTCGAACAAAATATTTTACGAGTAGAAAGTGTAGGTATTTGTAAGTAGGATTATTGTACAGTCGTAGTGATCGAGGGTGTCATGGGTTAAACTTAGAACAATCGCCATGTATGTTATGTACATAATAAAAAATAGTTTATTTTGTTTCAGTGATAATAGTTTGTAGCAACTAAATGCCAGGTTTTATTTTTCTGAATGAAAAGCAAACTTCAAATCAAAATAATTTTTTAAACAATAAAATACCAAGATGGAACATTTGCGGTGTCTTCTGTATTACTATAAACTGTATCTGTAACTCACTGACRCGGGTTTCCCTCGCGTTTCCGGCTCTTTTTCTCTGTCTTTCGCTTCATGATATAGCTYACGGAAATATTTAAATAATATTTCCTAGTAAAATATTACAAAAAACATAGAGTTTAGTAGGTGTGTGTGTTAGATATTTCACGCAACAMCGTTACTGTCAGTCGAACCGGCGTCTAGATTTGTGTCAGGAATATAGTCGAGCTAGTGCCAGTAACGTGAAGGTGTGGAAGTTTTGAAAATATTTATTCGTAGCATCGAAAACGAATCAAATCACGTTGTCCTACTTTGTGCAAAAGATCATTTTTATRTAAAAATTCTTGAGTTATCGTTAATCAAAATTGAAGTCTAAGCTGCTAACGAACATTCCCAAGTTGAAGTGGTTAATTTGGAGTTGTCATGCGCATTTATCCTGACATTTTATTWAAAAAAAGAAAAAAAGAAAAAAAGACAAAAGAAAATACGTAAAGGATAATTTTTGAAGTTTCATAATTTATTTAACGAATAATTCAGTGTCTTTGAATCTTATTAGTTGATATTGCGTGGATCATACTGCAAGGTTTACGGACTGCCGAACAAAACAAACTCCGTCAGCCGTGAATTCCAAGAAAAGTTTAATCAAGTCCACCCACACAAGTTCCTCGAAATATACCTCTTCATGAATTAATGTGTGGGTTGAAGACCACACAATAAAAACTTTTGGATGTCTTTATTTTATAAACATTGACTTCAGCTTGCTGCGAAACACCGTTAACAACGCTTGACGTTTTCAAAGTTTTCAAACAACTTTAACAAAGTTTTTAAAGTTAGAAAAACTTCGTGCAAACTTTCCTTCAAACAGTCGTCAGTGTCTCATGAATGGCGTTTTACTTTGCTATTTACTTCCAAGAATATTTACATGACGTTTTTGTCAAGAACGAGTCAGATTCATCGAATTTGGATTTGATTGCCGCTATAAACAACAGATTTAYGAGCCCGTTACTTGTAAGTAAGTTTATTCGTACTGTTCATAGATACAGGAAGAAAATATTTCTATACTTACTACTTACGCTAATCTAGTTTATTTAAAATAAAAAAAAAATTCCATCGCAAATCCTGGGGAATAATTGTTAATTAGTATTACCCGAATGTTCTTTTTCTTCCGTTATTTTTTTTTTGGCCGTTTTCTTCGATCTTTAGTCAGGAAGCTGTAAGGGTATAGAAAGACACGAGGTAAAATTCCCTGATGATAGGAAATACCCATGTTTAAAATACCGAAATGAATCAATATGATTTTTTTTTTCATTGTCAGCTTCGATTATGTGAATAAATTTAGATTCCAATATGAACCAAGGGTACTAATGTTGGGCTATCGTCGATAAATGCTGATTATCAGTAAAACAAAACTATCGATGGTCACTTTACAGCATTCACACTAAAACAGACATACGTATACATTTGATAAAAAAGCATTCAAAGAGWGTTTGTTCATCGCCAATGCCGGTTAATACATGAAATGGATCTAAAATATTATGCCTTATAGAGTCGTGTCCTTAACACTTTAATGCATCCCTATGTAGCATGTTCTATAATTTTTACATTTCTTTTTCTTCCGAACATTAAGTGAATAGCTATCTACACGGCTTCCGGGTGCTCGAATAATCCGTCAAAAAATTTACAAAAAGTTTTCAAAAGTTCTTAAAATGAAAGTTAACAGAATTCTGATTCCGGAAGCTGGAAGACACTGTGAATGATATCCATCCTACACTAGGACTGTAGACCACTGTACGTTTAAAGACTTAACATATCTCTTCCTCTGTGATGATAATTGTGTTCAAATAGTTCTTGACGTAATCAAGTCCGATTATTATACAGTTTAGTTTACTTTGTGATCATGTTGATGAGCTTTGCTATAAATAGAGACAGAAATTCGATACTGAAAACCAACAATAATACGCCAACAGCCCTTTGAACCGAATCAGAAAAGTTTGAAAAACTTTTTCATTATCTAAAGCTGCGGTAAGTAAGCTTGTTTTTATAATAAACAATAAGTTGTTTAGAGAAAAAATATCCTTTTTGCCGGGCCGGTATATGAGTGGGTGTTGGTTGAGCACTTTATCGTAATGGGGTTTTACACAACTTTCAAGTTTTATCATTTAAAGAAAAAATTTGGTTAAGATCGCTAGTTTTTGATTTTTGTAGTAACGCAGAAAGAAAGATTAGTATGGCTACTCAAGGTTGGCCTTCAGGTTGTTCCTCAATTCAAGGCAAAGCTTAGACTAGCTTTTTCAAACTGTCCCCCTTTTCAAATTAACAGTTCAACTTTAGTTTTGAAAATTTTAATCAARGCATCATCTATATGATCAATAAGACTACAGTCAATGGAAACTRATCTATGAACAATTTGTTGGGTATMTCTCAGTGACTTTCAWYGAGTGTGRACCCTGATTCAATAATGCTACAACTGGCTGTGGTATATMATAAAAAAACATGGTTCTCATGACCCTCTTAGAATAAAGGATTCTTAGTTTTTTTCAGCCAAGTTAGTGAAACTTTGAAAACGACTCCATCCAGTTATCTAAACTGATATAATGACTTCTTACTTTCTGCTTTACTAAGTCGTTTTTCTRTATTTTTCTTTCTGTATTTAGACCAGTTGAATATTTACGAGTTACAAGATTTGAACTATGTCAGGCAAAGCATTCCTTCAGATGTGGACAGCCATCATGGTTGCTATGGTGATAGGTCAAGCAAGGTGTAGCTTGATAGTACTGCCCGTCAACCCACCAGGAACTAATACTCATCACCAGTCCCTTGATGACTGGTGTGCTAATATGRCAGGACATCTTTACAGGACCATGCAGCAGTTTGTAAGTCAATATATTCATCATTACAACCAGCCCAGCGCAACAGCATTAATTATTTCCAAACCATTTAAGATAAATCGCTGAAGATGCGCTTACCGAGTGCACTAAATCACATACCACTCTCATAGATTCTCTGGACTCTGCACTCGTCTTAACATTGATCACRATTCTGATGCATTTTCACTTTAATTCCAGGAAAAAATAGTGTTCAATAAAACATCTCAGGTGATGAACTCTGGTATCATGGTATGTATTGAACGCGGTATTATATAACTGCGCATGCTCTATTATCCTTCAATAAATCTTGTGCATGCGCAAAATTTCTTTTAAAATGTCACGTGCATCTACTTTGAACTAAGAGAATGAGCGCAGTATTGTAGATATTCATACACAACCTTCTTTATTCAAAAAGCGCTGTCATAGTTTTAGAGTAATTCGCTACTTACCGCGTTCCCTTAAGTCATAAACGTGCCTTGATGACCACTAACACCAGTCATGCTTGGTTTGTCAACAGGAAGCACAAAGACTTGCCTTTGATCGTCGAGACCTGCAGATCTATTCTCTGTTATTCGAAGAAGTAAGGCCCGATTCATCCAACTCCTCACTCAGTCAAAAGATACAGAACTGCGTAACCCTTAACAGAGGTGGCATTAACACGCTGTGCATGGCCATGAAGATATCGGTAAGTGTATTAGCGTTTAAGCGTAATGCATTACTTCTCTAAGAGGAAGTAGGTTCAGGGTATATGACTGTATATAGTGCACTGCATATAAGGAGTTGTACATTAACTGCATTCAATTCTATATTTTCAGGAGATGTACCTTAACGGTACCGCACCCTTCCCAGGAGGCGTCAGCCCCGGTGTAGTCCAGGACCTACGATACCAAGACATTGGTGACAGTATGGCGGCCATCAAAGCACAGTTTAGGAAACTCGCTGAAATCATTGGCAAAACTTATCTTGCCGCAATTGACGTTCGAAAGTAAACAGAATAAAGATTATATTAAAAGATGCGATAAAAATCTGCTTTATTTAATAAATTATGTCTAAAATATTTTTTTCTAAAAGAATGAATAAATAATTTGAAGTTGTATTCTTCACGACTGCATGATATATTAACCTTCATTGCAAAGCACTCATAACCTGTCAGCGATACACTCACTGACGATGTAACACTCTAAAGACACGCACATGTAACGCATTCTACAAGCACAATTCAAGAATGTGGCAATTCTCTACACCTAACACCAACGTTACTTGCAGACCAAGTAAAAACACAATTACCATTGGTTCACACTCTAAACTTACGCCTTCTCACACAATACACAATACACTCTACACGTATCACACACCCACGCACGCACGCCGCTCCTAACACTGCAAGAACTCAGTCGAAGTTAGTTTCCAGAGGTTGTAAGGTGACTTAAGTATTCCATATAACTTGGTGTTAATATATCTGTTGCCTTTAGACACTGACTTACACTGTAGCTATTATCGAGGGCGCCAGYAGCATCTTTGAACAAAAAAGACGGCGCATTAAAAATATATATACAGTAGGACTATTAGTATTAGGGATTATGATGATAGACACCGCTTACCTGGTTGAACCCATTGTTGTTCAGCAATGTAAAGTACCGCGGGCACACAGTATTGGGCGACCCCGTGGAGGGAGGGCTGGTAGGAATTACACATCCACACAGGTAAAACAGCCCGCGTGTAATGCTGTGTAAAGAAAAAACGTTTGAACTTTATTTTTCTTCAAACTGTGTTCTTGACAATACAGTATCAAATACCTTGGGATATCCCATACAGTTATCTAATATGGATAACTCTGCATCTGTTAGTGTGTAGACACAGCCTTCTACTGAACTACCGGGACTGAACTCTATGTTCGCAAATCCACCGGCGTCAGATGATGAACCTGCATGGAGCAAAATAGAAAAAAGATTGAATCGAGAATATATCAAGTATAAGCCTCAAAATATATACCCAAAGACGAGCAAGCAAAGAAAACCTGTGTATATTTTGAGGGCCGTAAGTTAGATAACTCACTGGGTTAATACGTCACCCTCGTTAAATAAAGTTTATTGTATTGTATTGTCGCATCCATATAGAGTCTTGATCACTTGCCAGTAAGCAAGAAGACTGCCAATGGAGCTCAAAAACGTATGTATTAGCTGACTATGGAGGTAGGGCAGAATGTATGCTTGTTTCTTACCCTTCTTATTGAAGCAAAGTCTAAATCCAAAGAGTACCCCCCATCTTCGTTTATGCTCTCGACGTAGATAGATAGACATCCTGGAAGTATAAATGTCGATCATTCTTGCTACAGACTATTATCATCAGCAACACGGACAATGGGCTTCCTGTGGTTTATTCTTCTTACCTTTTAATGTTCATATCGACACCATACGCGAAGTAAAACAGGCATCCCGCGGGAGGTTTAGCGTTGATGTAAAACTTCAAAGGTTCATGTGGAGCTGGTAGATGATTCTTGTTTGATGAACTACAAATATCAGACAGACAGATAGACATGTGTTATAGGCATGGCATGGAATGATAGTGATTCTTGGCGTCCATACCAACCTCGGATCAGTCAGATGTTTAGCTTTGGCTATGACCTCAAGGTTTTCTTGTGTATCACTGAAAGAATAAACACATTTGCCATTGAGTGTTTCATAACTTGAAATCATTCCATGAAACTCATACTTAAATCAATTTTTACATCTAAAAGAAGTCTTTAGTAAAACACTAGTTAGCAGAAAACACACTGACTTACGAGATCGTTTGTTGTTGTCTGCAATCAGCTGCCTGTAAATATAAATACACCTTCTGATTTAATAATGGGAACAAACAAGTAGAGCAATTAAATGGGAAGCACATATATTTTTTTATCTCCTTGCTTCTTTTTTCCTTCCCTCGAGAGAAAGAACTTGTAAACCAGACCATTTCCTAGTATCATTTGATTTTCTATTTACCTTGAATGGTGATTTCTCATCATCACTAAAACCATCGTATGAGTTCGGTTTATCGTGTACTCCCGTACTACCGGGCATAGTTTCAAAACCCGTATCATCACTAAACTCCCTGCTTTCACTGTGATCTCCTGTCGTCTCTTCTGTTCTTCCCGACATGGATTCCATGTCCGTACTTGTTGAATCCATTGTAAAGAACACCCCAAAAGATGTAGGATCACTAAATGGCTCGACTACTTGATCCACCTGAAAATCTTTGCATTCCCAAAGCGCGCTATCCCTGTCATTTTCGTTCCTATTCAATTCACTTTTTATATTTTCTTCCGTACTGTAATTAGATTCCATTTTTTCTCCTTGAAACTTTACTATCGCTTTTTCTAACATCTCTTGAACATCATCCGATTCCAAAGACGTATTTCCAAGCTTTCCTTGTTGTATGATGTCAAACTGTTCCATAAAATACCCAGGCAGTTTTGACCGCAAATCCGCAGAAAATCTTCTGCTCTCCTCAGACAAATACTTGCGCAATAACTCAGCTTTATCCATCAATGTCTTAGAATCATTTTTGCTTTTCAGTTTAGCGGAAGATGCTTTAGACCTTTCCTTTGTTTTGTTAGAGTTAGAGTATTGCTGGCTAGTGTTCAGATTAAGTGGTTTTCTCTGTGTTCCAGCGGATTGTACTTTCCGCGCTTTCAAGGAGAAGTCAAGATGATTTTTGGATTCAAATATATTGTGGTGCGCGTTCATGCTCAAATTTAATTGGTCGAGATTTTTCCATATTTGTGCTGAAGGTAATCGATCTGTATCTAAGTCATCATTATCATCATCATCAACCAGGCCATGAATTTCATCATCAACACTATTATGATATGGATTAGAAGTTCCAATATCCGCATCACCAGCAGCATTATTGTCCACATTGTTCTGAGGAAGATTCTTCAAGAAATTATCGTTATCATTGGCTGTTTCTTCTATAGTCTCTCTTTTCCTGACATGTACAGTTATGATGGGTGAACAAATACTTGTAGATGATTCTATTCTAACCGCTTCATTTTCTATACCATTCTCAGTCCTTGARCCATTGGGTTGAGCATCATCCTCAATAGAAGAATGTGACTCAGTATTAGTGCAGTTTGTTGATCGGTTTTCAGATGTCTTAGTTTTGTGTTCTTTTGTTCCTTGGATGTTACGATTCAAATCCGAAGTAACATTTTGTCCATTACCCAACCTGTTGCTATGGTAACTAGATAGCAAAGGTTGAGGTTTTCTTTGATTGTCTTCTTCATCATCGTCCGTATCACCATTATCAACATTATCATGAAATGGCTTACAGCCATCATTAGTTTGAGTTCTGTATTTTTTATCATTTTCTTTATTCTCTTTTAAAACAATTGATTCTTTTTGGTTTTGTGTATGCAATTCTTCAAGTCTTTTTGAAAATCGTTCCTCTTCTGACAATTTGGAAGGATTTCCTTCCACAACATCATGTTTAAGGATTTCAAGTTCTTTTTTCTGCACATTGCCACATTGTGAATTAACAATGTCTTGGTCTCTCACATGTTCTTTGCCATGAACTTCACCACGACTAAGGCAACCTTTCCTCTCAAAGTTTGAGTATGCATTAACCCAGCTATCAACACTAGCACCGTCAGCATCAAAACTGTACTCAGACATACTATCCTCTTGAGATGTATTTTTAGTTGAAGCCCTTGATGGACAGTGAATAGAGCTTTCTGGTCTTAAGAGTTCTGTAGGACTGCCTGGTCTTAGGAATGGGGATCCCATACGTGAGTAGACTTCATTGGAGTATAAACCAGTTTGACCTGAGTTGTGTGTCACTCTTACACCTGTGAAGAAGATGGAAGATCTTACCAGGGAATATCATGACACATGGTATTCTGCCTTACTGATGGTACATGTATGGAGTCTGATCTTACTATTCCRTATATATTGAACAGATGTATATAGAGAGTATTCACATGTACCTGACTGAATTCCCTTGCACTGCTGGATGCATGGACCTGATCCACTGAATGGTCTACCTGTGGTCTTCAGCCTGCAAAAATATGTCAAGAAGTATCGTAAACGTAATGTTTTAAACATTGTAATGAGGTGACAGACAATAATTGGTGAATGAATAAGGAAAGTGGGAAAAGAAAAGGTAAGGTAAGGAAAGGAATGAGAGATGACAGTGTATCTGTACCTAGCTTTCCTCAGTCTCTGAGTATAGTGAGATGGTTGTGAGGGTGGCTTTGGTTTTCTGAACTGCTGTCTAACTCTTGCAATACTTTCTTGGGTTACATTCTTGAGTTCATAACTTGGATCAACAACCTGTAAAAATTGAAATCAAACTTTGGTTTCACTGGTAAGAGGCAAGCTCTTTCACCACTATGCCATTCATGCCTCTCTTGACTCATACAATACATGTAGATCATTATTATTATATTGATATTAACACGCAAATGTAAATATAATACTCTACCTTAAATGGACCCTTCCTAGCTGGGACTTGGTATCCTTGTTTAAAAGGTGAGGATATGTAGCAATTAGGCTTGTTTACTTGCACTCTGTGTTTGTTCTTGCTTGAAGCACTAAACGAACAGGGTTCAGAGAACACCCCATTGCTGACCTCGTTGTAGTCATCAACTGTAGATACACAGAATATTAAAAAGACACTCAATAAAAACAAACTTGGATATATTCTCGGCATTCACTGTAACTGATTAGAGCTTAATTATAGAATGTTTACACTTGGTTCCGGAGTACTGTGTGTATTCCAGAGTACAATCTTGAAGGACACTGATGTGTACTAATTAGCACAGCTAATTTTGAAGTTCCCATGCCCAAGTACAAAGTTGGAGGGAAGTGTCAAAGCCAAATATAAGTCTCAACATGCTTTTATATATACAGAAAGATTTCTGCTTGTAAAATTAGAGGAAGGGTTTGAAGACCTACCTAGACTGAGCTCTGAAAGCCTTGTATCAATGCTCAAATGTGACCCAGGTTGCTAAAAGAAAACAAAAAATGTGTATCAGATGATATAAATGATGAGATATATTTTCATTTGTGATGTTAAACTATTTACCCTCTAAGAAAATATTAATATTGCTAATTTCTCTAAGTTTTTTTTAAGTTTTGCAGACGTTGAGATATCTGCAAATCTCAAATGTTTACAAATGATGTACCTTCAATTATATACAGTTCATGATCACAATATTTGTTAACTATAATAACATAAATAGTCCACAACTATACCTGGTGATTAGTRCCACTAGGAGGCCTTATTTCTAACCCATTATCCAGATATTTTCCCTCCAAATGTAGTTTATCTTCATCAAACTCACTAACAGGTGATGATGTTTCACGAGATGAAAACTGTTTGGAAAACTTCCCACTTGACCGTCTCTCAACCATTTAGCAAAATACATCTACACAAACTCACGAACACTATCAATCTATCTCTCTTCCTCCTAAAATAATCTAAAACATGTAAGAGTGAATACGAAATATCTTTTTTTAGTATTTTCTGTTGCGGTTTGGTTGAAGTTGGACGCCATTTTGGTTGCTATACTCACCCCGCAAAGAGTGATGGGAAGATCAACAGAGTTCAAGGCATGCTGGGAAAAATCCAAGATGGCGGCAGATGCCACGTTCAGGCAGTCTTGCCAAAGATCCCATGATAACCTATTCTTTGACTATATTGGAGACAATCCAAAATGGAAACCCATTTCTTTAACACACGTAGAATATCCTAAAGGTGAGATCCATCGCCTGAGCTTCATTTTTGTGGTCTGTTTTTCACTGAATATTCGATACTCCGAAGGCTTGTCGGCATCTTCAGTGATTGTATTTCTTTTATAATCTTTCCTTCCTTCTTTTTCAACATACTGGTATTTCTTTCTTGTTTTCATTGAATTTTGTACTAATAACACGAACGTTTTTGGTTACGTGGTGGGTTTTAYTCGTTCTTTTTCTAGGTATTTACTTGTAGATTTTCTTCTTTGTCTTTTCCTGTAGCTCATTTATAAGCTTAATTTATAAACTAATAACTCGTGCGATTACTAAGTAAGCTTTATGAAGATATTTATATATGGATATGTAAGCTATAATCAAGTTCATGAGAGTCATAATCTATAATGATGTATATTTTCGTCGTTAGGTGACTATCTTGGCCTTGCTCTAGCATGGTGCAGTCTAATGCCTATTCATATCGTTGTTGGAATGATTACATTAATCATATTTCGTAGAGAATTACACACAGTAAGTTGTAAATTATGTAAGAATATGTTAAAAAATACGTATGAATCATTCTAATGTGCATATTGTATTTCTATGAGTATGTGACAGAATTGTTGATGTTAGATGACTTGTTGATTTATTTGTTATTTTGCTATTATATCCTTCTGTTTTGAACTCATCACACCCCAAGATTCAATCTGTCAATCAATTAATTGATCAGTCAATTAAACAAGGCTATGTTTCTATGCACATACTTCACATTAGGTACATGTAACCCAGTATTTACTAGTTTGTTACAGGACTCCGRTCTTGCCACTGTTTCCATCCCTGTGCACTGACAAAAATCATGACAGATAAATGGACTGTGTGTCAATCAAATAAACCATGCCCAATTACATGCACTAATGATGTGTTTGATTGATTGTAGTCTATCACCTTTATCATTCAGTGTTTAGCAATGAAAACAGTGGTAAAATGAAGGAAATAGCATTCACTATAAAATGTCATTTTCTTTGTTTTGTAGATAAGCTTTTTTGGTGGTCTAGGAGTAAATGAAATTCTTAATGCTGTGGTAAAGCACACACTAGCACAGCCACGGCCATGTGCAGATCATATGTATGAACATCCATCATATGGAATGCCTTCAAATCACTCACAATTTATGGGCTTTTTTGCTGTTTATATGGTACTGTTTATATATTGTAGGTAAGTAGTGTTTTTGTTCTACTTATGTCTTCAGAAGTCTTTTTTTGCATTAAATTGATTTGCTTTTTAAATAATTTTCTGGAGTTTGTTAGGTTGCAGAAAGTTAATGTCGGACTTGAACAGTTTCATTCTATGAAGGAGATTCTAATGTTTGCGCCAACTTTTTTTTTTTTCAAGGTTACATTATTCACAATCCACAACCATGTGGGATGATCTTCTAGACAATTTATGGAAGCATGCAGTGGCTACAGGAACAATATTACTTTCGCTAGCAGTGGCATTCAGCAGGTACAGAGATTAGAACAATTCATTTTAATTTCAACAACTATTGTTCAAGTTAAATGATTGTACTTTTTCTTACTATACTTTTAGGGTTTACCTGAGATACCATGATATAAACCAAATATCTGCAGGGCTCGTCATAGGAGGTGCTATGGGTGTGGCCTGGTTCATATTTACCCAGACAGTCCTAACACCATTGTTCCCCGTCATAACTGCATGGTAAATATTCTTGTTTATGATTAATAATTATAAATAGGCCCAGCTGTTGTAGCTGCCTAGTAGTAGTTTTGTAATATTTCATTAATCACAGTAATAAAATTTATGAGAGCACAGGAAGCTCTACTACCTACTCTTAAATATGAATGAGCCCTTTTTATTTGGTTCTAAGATGATTTTATGGACAAACAATTGATTCAAATGCTAAGTATGATTGTATTTATTCACTGTCAACAAGGCCCGTGGCAGAATACTTGATGATAAGAGATTCAACCCTCATACCCAGTGTCATGTGGTTTGAATACACACAATCAAGGGCAGAGACCAGGTAATTAAACTATCATCTTATCTAACTGCTGGCTGCATTCTAATAATAATAAAGTAAAATCTATATAGCACCATTTCTGGGAGTTCAATGGCACTTTACAAGAATTATGAAAGAATTTAAAATTACAGTGTTCTAAAACTTTCACTGACATAATTATTTGATTATGTGATGTTATTTTAATATATGTTATTTACCAGCCAAGCCTCGGTCTGTTTTCCAGACTGAAGGCACAATTTTTCTCCATCTGGACTGACTTTAGGACAGTAAACGACTTATTAAATTTATCTATTGCTTCTTCACAGGAAACGGCAAAGGAGAGGCTCTCATAACAGCTACTATAAATCCCATAGTCAGTGAGAAAAATGACAGCAAGATGAGTGTCTGAGAGTCAGATGATGCACCTTGATTGATTATAAAATATTCAATCAATTCACTGGCGAACAAGAATGGCCATCTATTATCAAGTTCCTTAATCATGAACCTGTGATAGAAAAGCTATGCCACATGAAGAATTATGATTAACAATACTGACAGAAGATAAACCCCTCCCATCTTGTCAATCAGCACCAGGAGAAAGAGCATATCTGATTTGTGACCATGGATGAAATTATGGGTGAAATTTCATTGCAGTGAGAATCGAAGAATGATTACTAAGCTGGTCTTAAAGTTCTTTCATGAATTTAATGTGCATCAAGCTTGTGGAGAAAAGAGAACCACACAGATGTATTCTTTGATCAATCTTCAAGCAGAATATCCAAAGAATTCATGTTATCATTATCAATAATGAGATAAAAATTGCTGATTGGAATTCAAATGTAACAGTACTAATACCAATTATTGAATGAAGAACAGTGACTTCACTTTCAAAAATTGACAGCAAGCAAACAGCTTCAAATATAGACTGTTAAAAATCCCTTTTCTCTCCAGACTCAGTCAATTTGTTTCCTCTTTGAGATGCAGAGAGAAAAAAATGTGACTCAGTCTGGAGAGAAAATAGGAACAATCTTCTCCAAATACTACCACTGCTATTATGTCATTGATATTTATATGAATATTATTAAGGAAAACAAACTGCATTTAGACTCTTCAGTGACTTCTATGAGCATGCACTCTGATTGGATAGTGTGCATTTTGGTGCTTTCTGATTGGTTGAAGTGTCATAAGCACACCAGGATTGAAAGATAATAAGGGATAGTTGCATGGACTGAACCTTGAAGTTTTGTCTAGATTCTATTATTTACCTTGCCTGGCCTTATCTTCTTTTATTTCCCAACCTATTTCCAGATTAAAATGATGACCAATATCTGGGTAAAATTGGCACTTGTCTGGCCAAATAATGATCAATTTGATGTGGCCGGTCATTATGACCAGCCATTGAGCAGTCATTATTTTTAGAATCTCTATTGCTTTATTGCCTTAACAACACATCAACAACAATACTTGTTTCTGATTGGTTGATTGGCTGTCAATTCCTATTAATTGGTGCAATTAATTCCTTACATGCACAGTTTGAATGATTACCAAATATTTTTGCCAATTTATATATCATAAACAGATTTTTTGAAGATGTGTTATTAATAGGAAATACCATCTTAGTTCTCAAAGAATTAATGAAAATACTGTACCACTTGTATTTGATGTAAGGGTCACTTTATACTGCTCATGCTAACCACTTGTGGTATTAAGCCAACTTCCATCAAATGCACATTTATTTTCCTTTAATTCTTTTCCATTAATGATTATGAGCGTTTTCACTCACATGACGTGACAGCCATATTAGTGTACCAAACAAGAGAAACTTTCTGCACAGTWTTTGCATAAAAATAGAGTTCAATTCCCAGAGGATAGAAAATGTATTGTTTTGGTACACCAACATGGCCGATGTGACGTCACTTGAAAACACTCTATTACCTAAGCTAATCATGGCCTGCCCATGTATCATTTCTTTGAAATACAGACTGTTCATTTGCATGTTATCTATGGTAAACAAAGGAATAGTACCCAAGGGAATGACACAATATTGAATAGGGAAAAGTGTACAGGCCTATCAATATCTGGCATTTTCTAGACATCCAGTATTGCAGTGATTCTTACCATGAAAGGAATTGCTGTACATCATCTGAAATCTATTTTAAATTCTAATGAACAAATGACAATACACTGTGCAACCAGTTGCTGAATCCCACATCCCAGCTGTTGTCAAAGTACATGTGTAGTCCACATTATTTCACGATCATTAATAACATATTAAAGATTAGGAATGAATGAATTAATCAAGAAACATTATAGAAAAATTATCTTATTAGTAAAGGTATTATCCCTCGTCCCCTAGTGATAAAATCTAAGTTCAGAAGGGGTTGGGAGGGTAACTATATTCTACATAGATATTCATTATAGTCATTTTTTTAATTAGACTCTAAGTTTCTGAAATTATTAGTYGTTTTTACTTAATTAATAGATTGTCTTACTCTCAACTTGTTGTCTTTCACTTCTTTGTTGTAAATTCCTTGATACACTTCATTTGTAACTGCAAATGAAATTCCATGGAAGAAATGGTGGTTATYGTGGTGGGAAAATAATGTGAAGACAAGCATAACACAGATGCAACAGCAGCCGTAAGGAGCCATTTGTATATGAGTGGGGAGAGAGTGGGGAGGGGGTTACCTGCGAGTCTCCTATTAGTAGAGGAGTTAAAAGGACACTCTGCTCGCAGGGTAGGAGGGGATAGATGATGATGACACCAACTGATGGCACCAACTGATGGCCAATTTGTCTACAATTTGTCCCCAGAAGACTTTAGTTGTATAAAAATAGATGGAAAAAACCTGCATGCTTTTTATGGCCCAGTCTGAAAGATAATGTGCTACTTTTGACAAATATAATGACTRTATACTCACTAGAATAACATCTTTACCTCTTTATTACATCTTAATATAATATTTAAGTACAGTTAATATATTAAGTATCCAAAAAACAGGTGTTTAAAGTCTAAAATAATTTATTCCTCCACTATAGCATGCAAGGTTGCTAATGATCAAAAACAGAAAACCAAGGATTAATTCATGTTGGCAGCCATGTCTTTTTCACAATACCATATAGACTGTCTAGCAACATGATTTGCTATTTATTATAAGTACTTGCTAAGAACTGAGGGATTTTTAGCAACAATTCTTTACAGTTTAGATTTAGATACTAGTAACTGCATGTCATCCAGACTTCTCTGCAGACATGATGCAAAGTGACCAGAGTTGGTCGTAGGGTTACTGTTGTACGTTGTAACGCCAAACATCAGTTTTTTCAGCCCTGGGTTATAACAGATACCATACCCATCTGGAACAGCAGGACCAAACAGGAGGTATGTTTCTTCCTTGAATGGCACCTAAATGCAACAGAGGGGAAGTTAGAGGTGGGAACTTTGTGTGAAGACCTTGTGCCCAACCAACTGGGAATTTCATTGCAATGATAATTTACAATGTTTTTTAAGGTTAGGCATGGAATTAATGAATACATGAAATCATACACAAGCATTCACAGAATGAAAGACATACACTTACCTGACTGGTTGATATTTTGAAGTGTAGTGAGTATGCATAAGTACTATCCATAAATAGCTCTGGAACATTCATTCCTGACTCAAGGGCTATCAGTTTCAGGCCAAGGAGATGGCGGTCAATGCCCTGGCCATTTATAGCCTGTTCATAAACAATCAAAGTATGTTTATAAAGCCATGCAGATTTCATGACAAAGAAAATAAAATCCTGGCACATGGCTGTCATGATGTGGAACTGATATGACATGATATATTTTTCTCCCTTGGGAAAACCCACAATTCTAATTTGATCTTAGCTGTATGTTAGATATATACATCTTTACCCTCTTGAAAAATGATGGCTAAAATAGATGCATACAAAACCTGCTCTATGTTATTCTCTTTCAAATTAATTACCTCCTTGGTGTAAGTGGTATGTGCATTTATTGCGGCACGCATAAAGGACAGGCGCTCAGCATTCTGTAGAAAAGAAAATGCAAATTAACAAAATTGCCTTCTTGCATAGATGGTAAAACTAAACCAGTCAATCGTATGAAAAATGAAATATCCACTCTTCCTCTTACAAAATGTCACATGACTTGTGAGAGTGGAAATCAAAATCATAGAGAAACTGTAAGACATTCTCACCGAGCAAGAGGGATTGGCCATGCTTTGTACAAATTCTAGAGTAGGTACAGAGGCTGATCGGATGGTTTCAGTGCGGCCAAGCTTGAACTTCCTTGTTGCACCAGTTTCATAAGCCGGTCCAAGTTGACCATGAAGCCTGCACAGAGAAGACAAAAGTCATAACTGGAATAATGTCAGTGACATTACTTCAAAAACAAGTAACCAAACTGAAGAACAAAGAACCCTCTAAACACAAGAGGGAACCAACAAGTGAGCCACCTGTATTTACAACTGGAATGAGTTTATGATTGGTTTAAAAAACAATACACAGGATTAAAATGACAATGGATTGGTCTTCCAAACAATAAAACCTAACCTAACAAAAGAGACTGTGCTGTACTATGGGAAATAACCTAACTATCAGAATGAAACCCATGACCACAGAGGTGAAATGCTGTAACACCATCATGAGATTTTATCAGGAATATATTTAATAGAATCACATGACCGAAATAATTTACTCATCCATACCTATAGTGAGTAAGCTGAAAGGAGATCTGAATCCAAGCATCAGGGCTCAGTTTGTGTTTCTTAATGAAATCTTTGCCATAATGATCAAACTTAAAGCAACGCACATCTAAATCCCTTACCAAACTGAAAATAAAAATGAGAAAAGGAAGAAAGAAAATTATGACCCATATTCTATGATAAATAGCAAGTCTCATTACACTTGGATTCCTCAGTTATCTGTGTGTGTTCGTAACACCCAACCACCGCTAATTTTTGGTAGATTTCTTACTATCTTATGCCAGAAATRTATGTACATCAGTGTATACACATGTACTATCAATGTTACATCATATCTATTGAATACATGAATATATATCATGCTGGAATTAAAATAAAAATATCAGAGGATTTTCAATGAATTGTTTTATAATTTTATGACTTGTATACCTTTCTAGTTGGTACTTTGCCTTCTTAATTGCTTCTTTGGTTGAGCTCCTTATCTTCCACTTCAGTTTAATAGGAGGAGTAAGATGACTTATTGAGTTACTAGGACTTATGGATTCATAGCCATGTCTAAAACATTGAGTGAACTTAGTTAACAGAGTTTACAGAAAGTTATAACTGAATCCAATAAAAAACAATAGGGTTAGATGGAGAATTAAGGGTAAGGAAAGTAAAAAAAGTGCAATCAAATCCCAACAAATGACACATTGTCACTAGTAGGTACCTGTTAGCTACAGTATATTCCCAGACACGAGCAATCGTTGGTCCTTCAGCTGGTGTGTGTTCATACAGACAACCCACATGTCCATCTTCACTGATACAGAACTACAACACACAACAAAACATTAGAAATCCGTACTAATGTATCCCACTAAAAGGCTTAACATAAAATGTTAACCAATCAGAATTTCAAGCGAAAATTGGAGCCAATCAGAAGAGAGCAGAATCAGTAGCATAATGACATAATCAACAATATTTTGATTTGAGGGAAAAGTGCCATTACACATTTATTTATGAGCACTGTAAAGTAACAAGAAGTAGGGTGTAGGGATGGTGTACCCTAACGGCTTGGCTTGCATAGCGTACATGTATGTATACCTTAATTACCATACAAAAACATACATTATTGGTTTTATCCACCCATCTGTTGAGACTGTTAGATTCTACTCCATCACCATGTAGACACTGTCTTGCAGATATAGAATGAGTYGCATCTTCCATTATACTAGGTGCTTGTGTTGATGGGACTGGTGGCTTGTCCAGACAGATTACAAACAGACCAGAGTCTATTATATCCAAGCTTGATCTGTTTATTTTATCTTCAGGTAAGAATATAATAATAATAAAATCAATATATATATATATATATATATATATATACATGTATATATTAGAGTCAATATTCTTAAAGTTTTTGCTTGCAAAGATATCCGTAAGAAAAGAAAACATATAAGGCTTTATAAAAATCTAAATGCTTCACTATTTCAAACATTTTGATGTCTGACTTCTTGAAGACAGAAACTTGAAAGAGAAAAAAAGTAATGAATGCAACAGATAAACAAATGTGACAGAACCAGCTTCTCCTAGAGATAAATGACAAATAGTTTATACTTGACAATGTACAACTAAAGTGAATAAAAAGCAATCCAAAAGAAATGGTTTACCTTTTTCTAGGGTCTTTCTCTCATGGGCCCAGGTTGTCCTATCAGTAGTTCCCAATACTCCTACAGGCTCTTCTAAAGGATCATTGTTTCTGACGATGACCATTAGTTGAGCCATCAAATCACCTTCATTCAAGGGCTTTCCATTTGGGTAGTAAACTTCCATGGAATAAAACTATGTGCAAATGTACAGTCATCAGAAAATGGTTATAATACTTTTCTTCATTCAGGGGTGTAGCAAGGAGGGCAAACACCCCTCCTTCCCCCTCTTTTCCTCTCCCCCCCCCCCCCAATATAAATTGAAGTACCTGATTTCTGTGGGCAACAATGATATGCCTTGACTTTTCTATGGGAGCAAGAACAAACTCATCTTTGGAGGCATGAGGCTTCCTTGTACCACCAAAGAGAAGCTTGTACTGAACCATACTCAAAGGATCCTTACCAGCCATGTCTACAGAAATAGTTTCACTACAGAGAGAATAAAGAATTATTCCAAACAATGATCCAATCTCTTTTCTGATCAGCATTTAGAACTGTTAATTTGCAGAGGGAGGATAAGTTATGGGAACACTGGGGGAAAAGCCAGTTGTTGTTGCTGTTGCACAGCAGAGCTATGTTATTACTAAGAAGATGTGACTAGCTAAAAACTAGTGTGAGCTGCRTCRGTGTTTCTAATGAAACAGTAATGATAAAAAGGTAAATTATACACYGTGAAAAAAGATGAAAAAACTTACTGACGTTTCGGATGCTAGTCCTTCATCGGAGTAAAAGAGTCTCTTTTGCTCTTTTACTCCGACGAAGGACTAGCGTCAGAAACGTCAGTAAGTTTTTCCATCTTTTTTCACGGTGTATAATTTACCTTTTTATCATTACTGTTATATTATTACTACTAGAATACAACACTTCTCATGTACGATGAGCACAGGAATTCATTCCAGGTTTCACTGGTGCAAGGCATGCAACTACTCATGTTGCACTAATCATACGTACTTTCCTAAACTTAGTTTATAACTGGGAGTGGAAGTTGCATGGCATAGTTAGAGGGGAATTAAAGATGAACTAATTAAATTGTGTAATATGGTAAACCACATACCTGTCAATTTCCTCTTTAAACTTAAGTGCATTTGAAATCAGTCTTGCAGTGTATTTGAGATAACTCAGACTTTCAGTGAAATTCTCTTTAGGGAAAGTAGCAGCTGGACTGAAGTAAACAACTAGTGGTACTCTTTGTTCAAGATAACCTTTGTCATCCCACCATTGTGCAAGCTGAAATATTAACAAATACATACTAGTTATAAAACAGTGTTAACTTTTCTTTTGTGCTTGGTTCATTTTTCAGTCGGCTAAGTCATTGCCGAGACCCCAGAACAAGACTTTTCTCAGGATCTGAATCTTCTGATTTCCTGCAACACTTTACTTGTAATTGCCGAGACCCCCAAAACTCACCCAAACATGGCTCTGTTCTTAAATACTACACCCGCCCCTCAGGATTATATAATTCCTTAGGACCTATTCCTACCACACACTTTATATATTTAYGTTGCCTTGTTATACAGCCGTGTTATATCCCGTGAGGCACTTAGCGTACACATGAAAGTGCACATGGRATGGGCTTACCATGAAGTGATAAGTGGGATATTATATGGTGTACCAAGAAAGCATTGCATATTGAACACTTCAGTATTATATCCCAAACCATTTACTCAAAAAAGACTGCAATGCCTGATGGAAAGAGACAGTGGAATGCGGTGGGATGCCATTTTGGTGTCATGACATGTCCTACTGTCTAAGTTCTGTAGTCTGTACCATACACTTAATTTCTCCTTGTAATGAAAACTGATATAACCTATTATCTTCCTTGGTTTATCTCAATAAAACTTACCCAGTTATCAGTAAACTTGGCCCTTTCTAAAAGTCTTTCTTGTAGCTTTTCTCCAACACCACCAGGCTTTCTAAATTCTTCCACAAGGGTCTTGGTGTTTTTATAATCATCTTCATCCACTAGTGGCTTTACTGCTTGAAGATACTTATCCATCGTCTGTTGTAATGAAGGCACAGGCAATCTCGGAAGAGAATCTTCTAGTGCCTTCATACTATGATACATATAGCGCCGAGGAATAACCTTAGCTGTGTTGGATAAGATTAATCTCGGCATTGTGACGGTGTCCTTCAAGAATGAAAACAGAGCGCAAAACATGAAGAATGAAAATACGAAGAAGCTCACAGGGATGGTGTAACAATAATGTACCTTAGGCCAGAAGTGAAGCAAATTTATTACCCAATGCAATAATTCAAAGTTCATCAGATAAAAGTTCAAAAATTTAGTTCAAAGTTTTTATTATCGTTATTATTACTAAAGATGATCAAAGTGCATCTCAATGGGTAGTGGGTTAGCTTTGCACAAATAACATGCCGTGACCAACACATAAAAACTAAACTATAAGATATTATTCATATTATTTATTCATCTTTTGTATCTGCTTTAATTTCATAAAAGGGTGACTATTTGTAGGAGCAATAATCTAGTATCCAACTTTAACCAGAAACTTAGATGGAAGGCCTTGATGAACAAGCTACTGTACAGTACGTACCTTGAGTAGCTGTTTAGAGATAATACCAAGCATGTGGGCCTTATTGCAGAACCTGAAACATGAAATCATTATGTCTTATTCATCTGTGATTACACCAGAATGTCCAAAATACACGGGGGACAACAGAATTTCGTGGCTAAAGATGTTTATCAAAACGCTACTAGACAACAGCAACCATGTTGGAAAGATGCATTACCTTGGATTCCAGTCCCTCTACTTGCGCTCTACCTACTGACAGATCTTAAAAATAAATGAACAATAAATGATCTTGAAATGGTTTCTAAATGCGATGTAATAACTTGCAAGAGAAGTGACAGTGTGTGAAAGATGCTAAGGAATATTGATCGTAAACAATAAAAGCTTTTCGGACTTTGATCTCTGAAACGTGGATATTAATCAAACCATACCCACTCCCCCCTACCCCCACTAAAATACCCCTGACCTTTCACTCACGTTTTTCTGGATGTGAAAATACTTGAAACAAAGCAACAGCAACAAGGTATCATATTCATCAAAAAAAAGCCAAATAAAAATCGTAAAATTCGTGTTTGTTGGGCTGCCTGTATCTCTGTCACGCCACATGTCACTTCCGGTCGTGTTACACTGATCAATGACGGGGAAAAATACACTTGAAAATTGTTTTAGAAAAAATKTAGCTTCACTTCACATATCATTTAGAGAAAGAAAATACTTTAAGCCTATCTAATTTTCCATTTCAAGTATTGTACTGTTTGTAAGCCAATAGTATAATATCCTTCATGGGTTTCCTGTGGTAGTCCCGTCACGCTTCTTGTTTACCCAGTATATCAAAAGTACTCAAAAGACCTCAAAAGGGTGCCAAGAACATCAGTGTATTTTCAAGCCTAAACCTTTATTGTGCGATTGATTACACTACCTCTAGTTCTAGTATGTCATCCTTAAGGGTTTTGACGTGTCGTGGATCTAGCCATTGGAAAACAAGGATAAACAATATAAACAGAACTCTCCTATTGACAAAACATCAACAGCAGCATCTACCAACAAGGCATTTGATACGGTGTCTATCACAAATCGTTCACTCACCATCACCTCCACCCTTTGATTCTAAGGTTGGGTTTAATGATTACGAGAAAGAACATGCTGAATTTCGCCCTTCTTTGCCGAGATTTTACAACTTTGCTAATGTTCTTGATGAATGGGCTAAAAAGGAAGAGGTTGGTTTAAAAGTGCAAGCAATGTGAATGTTTTTACTTATATTTATTAGTGTTATAATTATTTTTCAATGATTATTACCGTAAGAGTTTCCTCGAGTTCAATTCGTACTTTCATGTCTCTGATTGAGAGACTTTGTTTTGCTTCGGTGAGCAAGAAAATCCAGACTGGAATGATTAAGAGTCTGGATAATCGGAATATTTTGGCTCATGCATGGCTTGGAACTTCACCCCCGAAAGACCCGAAAGTGTGAAACAGGGCAATAGAAAAAGGGACCAGGGACCAGGGTTGAGCCTGCGGCACTCCCTACGAAAGTTAAACCGAAATGTGCCAAAAAGTTACTAGTATCGAAAACAACGTATCTTTGAGGAATATACCCAATTTTCATTCAATGTAACTGAAGCAGTGCACAATGAGTAGCAAGACAGGCAGGCTATTTATTTGTCCATTATTGTGTTATTATCTGTTAGTCTGGTGAGCGAACTCGCAATGTGCCCGCTTTCTGGTGGCTTGATGAAAATGGCAAGGAAATCAAGTGGTCTTTTRAGGAGCTCGCTGTTAATTCAAAACGGCAAGTATATTCGCAGACCAAACTTCGCTGGCAGTAACATTAATCGTTATAATATTTCTTATTTTTAATAGAACGGCCAACCTTCTGACAGATGGATGTGACGTAAGAAGAAAGGATCGTGTTATGGTAATCTTACCCAGGCTCCCCGAGTGGTGGCTCTTGAACATCGCATGTATGAGGACGGGTAAGTCTGCTTTTTGTTATCTTCCCGCACTGTAATGCCCTCCTGGATTTCCTACTTAACGGTGTCACTCCCTCTTCAGAGACTAGGTTAGAACCATGATTTTCTACCCCCGAAAGCAGAAGCAGATTTGTGGGTTCGGGAAAGGTGATAGTTCATGATCATCTGTTTCTGCTTCTCATGCCCTCTTGCTTTACGATTTCTTTCAGGGAGTGTCATCATTCCTGGATCAACACAGCTAAGATCTAAAGATATTTTAGCAAGGTTACTCGTTTCAAAGGCAACGTGTATTGTAGCAGATTCTGAAACTGCGRAGCTGGTTGATGAGGTAGGTCAGGGTTGGGTCATGGTTATTTACGTCCTGACTTGAAGCACCGGTCAACGCATCTAAATACCAAGTCCAGCCCCGGCTAGCACTAGTGAGATGAAATTAAAGCCAATCAAGGTTTGTACACGTTGTTCGTTCCAGTTGTTCGACACGGTTTTTACCCGCCTGCAATAATAGATAGATCAATTAGATTACCATAAAATTATCCAAATTATGCCACCACCATCTTTACAACCACCACCACCACCACTACCACCACCACCACCACTACCACCACCCTACCACCACCTCCTTTACAAACACCATCACCATCACTACCACCATCACTACCACCACCTCCTTTATAACCACCACCACCTTTACAACCACCACCACCTTTACATCCACTACCACCTTTACATCCGCCACCACCATCACTACCACCTGAAATCTACTTATAATTTCTCTCTCATATTAGGTGGCAGGTTTGGTTCCTCATTTGGAAACAAAACTCATTCTAGGGGAATCTATGGAGGAAGAAAACAGGTAAACCAGTTTGTTTATAAGCTTTTCCCATGAGGGCAGGGACATCACAACGGCTTTTTGCCAAATACAGTGGGCCCTATAGTGTTTAGCACGGGCACCGATGGTCGTCACCAGCGTCTTCAGTGGGTCTTTTAAGTCCTTGTCCGAGAAGACTTGAAGGTCTAACCATTTGAAGGCGTAATTACAAAGGCATCACCTTCTCCTCAGTTATTGATTTTAAGTCCCTGGGTCCGGCGAGGTTTGGAACACGACCTCCCTCACAAGAGACCGACGCCCATACCAACTGAGCTAACCGAAAAACCACTAGTATATATACCATCTTTCATTTTTGTTTCTTTTTTTACACTATCAGAAAAGGATGGCTACCGTTTCAGAAGCTTTACGAGCAAGCTTCAGCTACACACGAGGTATTTTATTAGATAAAGACGGGCTAGTGAACAATGCAAGCTTTTTCACCCATCCTTTTTCCCCTCCAATTTCCGATGGTTTGAACTACTGTTTAATCTTCCATCTGATTTAGACAGGAGATTTCCTTTTTTTTTTCAGTGTGCCCCAACACTAAGTGACGAAACAATGACGTTTTTCTTTACAAGTGGTACAACAGGAATGCCTAAAATGACCAACCACTCGCATGGCAGCTATGGACTAGGACACGTCATAACGGGAAAGTAAGTCAATCAGTTTTCTAAAGAAATATTGCTAGCAAAACAGCGCTGATTCGTATATGTAATAGGACTCTATGCTGTCCAATTAAGAAATAATTGGACGAGGAAAATTCCGAGGACTGACAAAATTGGATGAGCCGTAGGCCGAGTCCAATTTGGCAGTCAGAGAAATTTTTCGAGTCTAATTATTTCTTGATTGGGACGGAGCATGAAATCCCATTACCTATCAATTATATAGCTGCCTAATTAATCCCATATTAACAAGACCTGTCCAATTAAGAAAATAATTGGACAGTTACCTATATGGGATTAATGAGAAGCTGTATAATTAATAATACTTATATCAAAATACTTAAATAGGCAATATACGTCAGAGAGTCGTTTCTTTTATACGGGACGAGAAAGGCAAGTCTACGCATGGGATCCCGTAAAAGCACATGATTTTGTGCGTGTGTTTTTGATTCTAGGGCATACCGAGAAATATTCACATATATTGCAAAACCGAATTAGTGTCGAGGTCTTTAGTACCATTTCGTGGGTACAAAGTTTGTCATAGCTTAATATCAGGTGTTTTAAAGTAATGATTACCTAAACTATACAATAGGGTCGTCTTAAAAACGCGTCGTGAAGCAGGGATAACGAACTTGTCTCTAACAATTTAGTTCTGTCGTGAATTTTGCGTAATTACGTAATTCTACGGCWGTGATCGCCATTACGGGCGTTCTTYGTTAATAAAAGAACTAAAGCTTTTAAAAAACGTGTTGTACTTCGTAACAGCCTTTGTCATTTGAATCAGTTCGTTTCTAAGCATTGTCAGATTGTATCGTTGACCATTTATCTTCATGATATTCGAATCACTCTCTAATTCTTCACAAATTCCTTTTCTACGGTTTGGATTCAATCGTCGATATTCTTCAATCTTCCTGCGTTCTTTAGCTGACACAGTCTCCACTTCTTGCTCAAAGGATTCGTTTTTAGGTTGCTCTAGAGTAACCTCTTCAATATCCTCTGCCACCACTAGCTGAATATCCTCCATTGTCTTGTGGTTTGGAGCGACGTCAATCTTGTTCAGAGGAACCAAACGACGTCCAGGACGTAGGCTCTGACTTTGATTACGTTTCTTTTCGTTTGTGGGTCGAACAGGAGGCGCTGGAAGAAAATAGCATGGTTTGTCCTTTYGATAGAGCTGTGATGGGATTGGCCCTACTGATGATGAAGAAGAACTGTTTGCTGTGTTTGTGGGACTGCTTGAATACAGAGATGTTTCTGATGTCAAGGAAGAAGGTTCCATGAACGGAAAGGGTCGGGATTGTTCTCGTGGTTCTGATACCAAGGGGGATGCATGATGGTAGCATGGCGGGGCAGATTGAGACAAACATGATGTAAATGGGTCAATTAAAGGTAGAAATGGAGGCTTCTCTTGTAATGAAGGAAGAAATGTCCTAACTTTTATCTCTGGCGAAGGCAGGTCGGCCATCAAGGTCGGTTCTCGTCTTTGATCAAGTGGTATTGGAGGTAACTTATGTATTCTAGTGAATGATGTACTAGACGTCAGGCCTGGGGATGTAGTTAAAGGGAACACWTCTTCTAATGGGTGCATGGTTGGGCTGAAGGCTAGGCAATTACGCGTCTTGTAAGAGTGATGTGGGATCATTTGTTCACTGTCTAAATTATGCATGAAGGAAAATCTGCTGGAGTCTAGACTTCCCACATGGATTGATTTCGATTTTTCTCGTTGTGGACCAAGATACTGTAGTTGTCCCACTGAAATTGGACTCTCAGTAGTACGAGATAATCTGGCTCTCCTTTTCTTTCTAGTTTTGGGTAGTTTTGCTTTCTCCTTTTCAAAGAAGGAGTCAACTTCTTGCAGTAGACCATCTGAATTGGTACGCTCTTCAAAGAGCTCAGTATAGGCGGGAGTTGAACCTGTGGTGTCAGCTGCTTTTGACATCTCATTTTTCGGCCGGCTGAAGTTCTGTTCGTCCATGTTGGTTTCTTTGACATAAATGAGAGTCGCACGCCTTACCCCTTTCACCAAMGAGTCCTCGTATTCTTTTCTGGGTGCTGACATTTCGTCTATCTTTATCGCTGGTTTGGATATTGAAGGACAATTGCTCACGGTCTTTATGTCTACTAACCCTATATCACGACAATACCCCTCCATGGTACTGTATCTGTTCCTTTGCTGTTGCTGAAGCGGCTCAAGGGGAAAGCTCTCTTGACATTTTTTCATGTTCATTGAAAGAGAAACGTTTCTAGAACTTTTCAACATTTGAGACGGGCCTGAGATTGTTGAAAGTATACTGGTGAAATGAGAAGGAAAATTACAATGAAGAGATGGCATGGAGATTTACTTTATACCATCTCTTATTATGACGTAGATACTGGTTGTTTTGATGCAAACGCCGCTAATCGAACGTTGCAATTAATAATATCTTTTTATGTTTTAGTGTGCACTAATTAAGCGTAATTAACTTCGTCGGTGTTTTTATAGATAAAGCCCATCCCATCCATTCTAAAAATAAGTAGAAAAATCAAAATGATTGAACAGTAGGTTTTGCTATTTTACGGAGAGAAAATAGCAAAAACGACTATATACGCCTTTAATTTTTGGTAAAAGATGATTGGTTTTAAGTTATATGTCTAACGCAAACCCTAGCCCTCCTCTAAAAGCAAGCATAAGGAATTAACACAGCCACATTTGTCTCTACTCTCGTCCCCAAAATACCACAACATATTTTTACTTACCGKCGGGCGGGCCAAGAAATCTCTTAATAACTTTCTTACAATCTTCCGATCTCTTTAATTGCATGTATTGTTTTTTATTTGCCTTGGGTCAGAAGACGAAACCATGCCAATTACAACCCTGTTGTAAAAAATTCGTATTATGTGAGTGAAAAGATTTAGAATTCGTTTAGTTGATTTGAACCTAAAAATTTATCAATTTGATGTGATGAAATCTTTAATGTTTTAAAATATATTAGATTATACTGACAGAACTAGGCCTCTGACAACAGTGTGCCCGGCTCGAAAGAGTAGTGGTGGTTCTCACGATGCAGAGATGCAAATGAAAAATAACACAATAGAAAAACACAAGTACCGACACAATTTCATACGTAAATTTAGATTAACTCAGTTACGTCATTCGGAAGTCCTAGTGCTAACGTGTTTGTCGTTCCTTTAGGTACTGGCTAGACTTGGGTCAGGATGATGTGCATTGGACCATTTCTGAYACGGGTTGGGCTAAGTGTGCTTATGGGTGCCTTTTTGGACCTTGGAACCAAGGAGCCTGCGTGTTCATCTACAATGCGCAATTTGAAGCCAGGAACGTTCTTAAGATACTTGAGAAGTACCCCATCAACACGTTATGTGTGCCTCCTACTGGGTACCGTATGATGGTCCAACATGACCTGAACGAGTTCACATTTTCTAGTCTGAGGCATTGTTTAAGCGCCGGTGAGCCCATCAACCCAGAAGTCATGGACGAGTGGAAACAAGGCACTGGGCTTGAGATCCGAGAAGGATATGGTCAGACAGAAACGGTAAGAATAAGAACCTTTTTCAAGACATTGTCATATATTATTTGGGCAAAGGGATTACTCGTTATTATTTACGGAAAGAACGGAATAGTCCAGAAATACTTACTGTGCTACGTTCCACAAGTTTTTGATTTCTTTTTGACAACTTGGAATGGTGCTCTTTACCGCTAACCAATTAGGTATCGGCGCTTCATTGTGATGTTTCGATCGGCGATGTAACGATATGTTGTGCAGATTTAAATGTACAAATGAAGCTGTTGTTAAAAGGACGTCAAAAAGAAATCAAAAACTTGTGTTAGGGTTCACGGTATAGCGGGTAGCACGGTTCCCATTTACAAAGCTGAAAAATGCTTAGGACAAAAGTTAGCTTTTACCCATTGACCCAATGGTGTGATTCAGGGGGCCCAATATCCTTTCCTATTTTCTCTATTCGATATATAATGAATGGTGTTTAGTGAGAGTACACGGTCACGGTGAACACTAGATAAGTGCTGATACAATATTGTTGCGGGATTCATCTAATCAGTGTTAGTTACGTATTTTAACTTAGTCAGTCAGACAACATCTGGTTCAGCTTTTTTCTGAAACATTTTTGTTCATGCAGACTCTTCTTTGTGGTACGTTTCGCTGCATCGAAAATCGTCCAGGATCGATGGGTAAACCGGCTCCTGGCTACGATGTCAAGGTGAGAAGGATAGGCTTGAATACACTGGCTTAATTGTGATGCCATTCTAGTTCTTCACACATTCGTTGCTGCAGAAAGTATAACGCTACGGCGTGTTATGGTATACATAGAAGCATTTTTTTATTCTCCAACTCTGCAGTGTTGACATTCAGTTTTAGTAGGGCATGGGCACGCAAAACAGCTTTGCTATGGACAACAACATTGCGCCCAATTTTAAATGTATTAGTCCTTACTGTATGAGAGGTGTCACTAATCAACTACTGGTTTATTTCTAGATAATAGATAATGATTGTAATGAGTGCGCACCTGGAAATGAAGGCGATATTGCTGTTCTTGTCAAACCACGTAGACCTATAGGACTATTTACCGAGTACAAGGTAAGACCAGGAAACTGGGCTGCCACACAGCTCTGAGGGGAAGAAATGAATATTAGATAAGAAAGAAATATCAAAGGCAAATKATATGTTGATTTGTTTGCAGGACGACCCAGAACGAACATCATCAGTCTATCGGGGTGATTACTACCTGACAGGTAGGGTTCAACTCGTGCATAAGTAAATGACAAGTTTATAAGCAAGACTGATGACTAAAGTAGTAGGATTGCGCGTATGATACCTTCCCGAAGTCAGTTTTACAATGCTCTGTTCCATGAGGTCGTTAACATCTTCTCTTCAGACAAAGGTGCAGTCTACTTTATTTGAGATAACCAGTCCAATCAAATTTTGATGCTCGTTTTCAGGAGATCGCGGAATTCGCGACGAGGATGGCTACCTGTGGTTTGTCGGTAGAGCTGATGACGTCATTTTATCTTCTGGGTAATTCTAATGAAATGAGAATAGAAATAGGATAAAAGTTAAAGTAATAACGTCAATTATTTGGGTACCATTATAATCAAGAATAACTTTAGGATTCAACTGCCGAATAAGGCTACCATAATGAAGCCCATTGATTAGGTCAATCTGGTTGAAGACCAAAATAGCGATGGCGTCACTTCTCAGATTTAATAAATGATGACGTCATATGATCTTCAATGGGTTATTTGGACAAGGTTATGATTAAGGTTCATATTATGGAAATATTTTATACTAATAGAATATTATAAATACATGGATGTGTAGATATCGTATCGGACCTTTTGAAGTTGAGAGCGCGCTTATCGAACACCCTGCAGTAGCCGAATCAGCTGTCGTCAGCAGTCCTGATACCGTCAGGGGAGAGGTGAGTCCATTTTCGTCATCGTATACTTAAACCAGTAATATCTATAGTCTTACTTGCATTGAAATATTTTAAGAGAACCTTACCACAGTTACCAACTGCTCGCATCAACGCATTTTTGAATGAAGTAAAGCTTCCCTTACATGGAACTGTGTTCCCTCGAGTGTTTTGTTTGACGAATCATTTAGTTTCTTTATCTTGTAAACCCTTTATCTCGTAGATCCTTTATCTCGTATACCCTTAATCTCGTAGATTGTCAAGGCGTTTGTCATTTTGGCACCGGATTTTGAAGGAAATAAAGAAGACCTGATAGTTGAACTTCAGCGACACGTGAAAGAGACTACAGCACCTTACAAATATCCTAGAAAGGTATGTTCCTTCAGAATACACACTGCATGGATCAGAACTAAAGGCGTATATGCTAAGGCGCTATTCCATGGCAGTTCAGTTCTAGACTTTCTGGGCCGGGTACGTTGATCATATATCATCGGTATATATTGCTTCAGTAGTGCTACCACAGTTTTAATACTTCTTTCTTTCAGATCGAGTTCGTTGATCATCTACCAAAGACAGTGAGTGGAAAGATTAGAAGAAAAGAACTGCGCGCCTTGGAATGGGATAAAGTGACGGAAGAGTAGTCGCAACAAGGCTAGTTACTCAGAGTTCAAGAACATGAAACACTTGAACAATGATAGAACGGCTTATGCGGTGAAGCTACACTTGTTAGCGTAGTGCAATGAGAGTTTAAAGATGGCCGGGGAGGGGAGTGAAGTAAAGGCACAAATGTTTCATAATCTTCGTAGTGTAGGCTGTACGGCAACTTCCAATGTCTTTCCTGCGAACAGAGTCCCTCGATGTCTTAACCTATGAAATATATGTTATTGTAGAACGTTTGCTTTCTTTCCTTCCCCCTCCATGACATCCCAGACTGAACGTGAGTCAATAGTTGCGCAGATGATTGGGTCACGTCAAGGGCACTAGGACACCGAATGTGGTTGGATTTCTATAGGTTTTTTTTTCCTTTCGATCATTTGAATTAAATCAACGTTGATACTCGTTTACTTATTTTGTGTCCGTGTTCCTTCGTTCGCTGTTGTAATGCAGACGTTTTCAACCAACAACAACACGACCGCGCGATGCTCCTTACGTCAGTAATATTCAACCGTCCAGAGTTAATATGGTTAATCAGATTCACCTTAAGTTCTAGCCCCGGGGCTCTATATAGAACTTAAGGTGGATTTGATTAACCATATTAACTCTGGACGGTTGACTATTACTGACKTAAGGAGCATCGCGCGGTCGCGTTGTTGTTGGTATAGTACAAACAGAGTCAGGTACGGAACGGCCGTTAAAGAAGTAACGATCATAGGCTATTCAAACCGTTTGACCTTTGGAAGAAAACGTCTGCATTACAACAGCGAACGAAGGAACACGGACGCAAAATAAGTAAACAAGYATAACGTTGATTTAATTCAAATAATCGAAAGGARRAAAAAAACCTATAGAAATCCAACCACATTCGGTGTCCTAGTGCCCTTGGTCACGTCTTCAATCAGTGACCCTTATCAAGAACATCCATGAGGGGGTGACTCCCAATCTTCTACGTCTGAGTTTCTTCTCGTAATCCAACTTCGTGTTTTGCTATTTGCCTCTCCCGAAACACCACTTATTTAATTTTAGCTTAAGAAAACAATTTAGTAAATCTTTACGGAAATATGGCACGTTGTTGACCATTCATTTGCAGTGGCTGACCCGCAAGATGACCGGCTAGGTCAAGCGGTGTAAGCCGTGACGCTTACAGGGTTTTGAATTTCAAAGGCATGCGCACTAAGAACGCGAGTATAAAGTCGAAGACAGTTCAAAGCGGAGAGAAGCAGCGTATATTTAGGCCGCCTGATCTGTACTTAGCTCGAGTGGGGTGATCTGTTAATCATGTTCACAGGGAGGCACTTTGCCGATTTCAATCCCCAGGAACAGTGTAAGTACCAAATATAGATCGAAAGGCAAGTGGTAAAAAAGAGAGGTACTTTTGTGTACCCGTACAAATAATAATAATAATATGTAGATGCTCGAATGGCGTATTTCTAGCCTCAAGGCGCCTTACCTGAGCCTTACTCTAAAAGGGACGATAGCTATGAGACCAAGATSGAACAAAACAGTAGTCGGGTTCAGAAGGTGCAATGGGGACGAAAGCATATCGAATATCCAACAGTCGACACATGTTTGAAGTTCCACAAGGTCGTACTTCTGGCATGTTTACACTACATTATTATAGATTACGTTTCTTATTAAGCAACTAAAACGATGATGACCACGACTCTGCAACCGCACGGTTACGGTACGAGGGTTCGGTATGCTGTAGCATTCAAATGGGGTACTGACTTTGAAGGTTGAGTTCATGCACTACATATGCTTGGAAAACATAATTCGCTAGGTCAAATAGCAAGCCCTTACTAAATAACTGCACACATGTAACGCAAGGCTTCGAAGCGTAGGCAATTTTGTTTTCCTAGTTTTGTTAAGCGTACCAATTGAAACCTCACAGATAACTTCAACGTCGTTAAGTAAGGTAGCTGTGAGCTACGATCGACGCTGAAAACATTTAAAAAAAATTTCGGTCCATCATCGTGTTGACTGTATGGGCACCCTGCGTCTTGGATGGTAGATCTTGAAATGTCCATCTAAGGGACCATTGTTCTTTGAATGAGTGTGCGTTAGTTGTTGACAGCGGGAATGTTAATTGGATTCTGCGTATTACTGGCAGTATTTCGCGGGCGATCGATCGATGTTAAGACATAAGGTTAGTTAATACTATTCAAGCTTAACTTTTTCTTTTAAATATTTGTTGGCTTTATTTCATTTAGATTGCATCGCTAGYATTATTTTCTGTTGTCTACGAGCTTAGATCGTTTGTGCACTTAGAAAGATTTCTAAAGATTTTTCAATGAACTTCTAATGAGTTGACAAGATTAGATTTCTTCAGCCATGTCAAAACATTGAGAACCATTGATCAATTATAATTTTTATTATTATTGTGTTTTATACTTTATCTCAGTTTACTGTAAGCGTAGATCTTAGGTAATAGTGGTATATATATCGAACAACATCCTCGAGGTACACATGTAAACACAAGAGCAGAGCAAGCAGCGTGACAATGTTGTGCACGAGTTTAAATCTTAACTGTTTTCACGCCTAACGTCTTTATGCTTAAAGTAAAAGTCACRATCTCTAAAAGCAGAAGAATTAAAATCAACGGCTCTGTATTTTAAAATATTTTTTGGTGCTTTATACTTTTAAATGGTTGCATTTTTGAATGAAGCCGTTTTAATTTGCATAATAATAAGCTTCCATGCAACTCAGGTGTCGTATATGGATCTACGGGTGGGGCATTTGATTCTGGCTTTTGATTATTACTGTCTCAGCAACACCTTGAGCGTGCTTTTGGTCAATAATAAATAATTAARAATTAGAATTCTGAACATACTAGAGAAATTATTTTTTATATTTTGAATTTACCTTTTATATTTTAGATTGCTTTGAAGGTTTTTGAGAAAGTCAACATGATTTTACATGAAGCTTTTTTTCAAAATTAAAGGAAGAAAATAATTAAATACAGTTATATATGAATGCTAATGATGTTTGAATCAAAACTAAGCATCTCTTAATGACTGCTGTATAACTTAGTTTGACAACAAATTACCCAAAGGCAAAGAATGTTGGTAATTGATAATGCTTTGATAAAATGTTATACCATTATCGCAAACAAAACCTTGCAAATAATATTGTTAATAAATTTCATTTACCAAAAGCTAAAAAGAAAATTTCTAAAAAAGTGGTCCTTAGACTGATCACTGTGGTACACCATCAGACATTTGTAAAAAAACAAAATACTCCTGATAGTCTCAGGACTTATCAGGATTAAAAACTCAGCAAGAGGAGTTACATTTTCTATTCCTCAATGATGTGCTTTCTTTTGCAGACTTAGAGCCCATACCAATCCATTCTCCTTCCAGACACATGAACAGCTGTAAGTCATATCAACTGTTTTCAAAAAGCCAATGGATTTTGCATAATAGACTAAAATGAAAGTCTTGTCTTTCATGTTGTTGATCTTGTATATTTATTTTTAAAAGTGTACTTTACCATAATTTCATGATAAGAAAATACCACTTTTATCCTTTCACAAAGTTGTAATTTGAATCATTTGAGTATCACAATCAAGTTATATTTATATTTTTATCTTTAGCATGTTCCAGTGAAAAAAATGTAAATTTTGAGGAAGCATTTAACAGAAAGATAGAGCATCTTCTCAGTGAGAAAGGACAATCTGACTATAATCAACTGAAAAAGCCTTCTACTTCCTCCAGTAATTTGTCATTATCAACAGATTATCTTCAAACTTCTTCCCCCCAACCATTTGTTTCTGTTACAAGAAAAGAGGATAAAACTACGAAGGATAATTCCATTATAGAAATGTCTGTAGAGACCTCYCTTGACAATGATACAACAGGTAAAACCTTGAGGAGCCTTTCGCAGATATCATATATTAACTAGTGGTTATTGATGTGTTGAATACGACCATTGAAGAAAACTTAAAACACTGTATAAAAAACATTCTGAGATTTTTGACAGTCCGTCATTGGAGTACAGCACCTGTTACACATAAGAATATACCGGCAGAGTGAATAAATAGAAGAGAAGTTATTTGTAAAATAAATGCATTTTTACTCTTTTATTTTTACCTGACCAATGCAATTTTATTGTACCTTAGATAAAGTGTTTGATATTGGGGTATTTTTTGCACTATATTATCCTAAAGCTTTTTCCACTTAAAGATAATACATTTTTCTTTTGCAGATGAACCTGTTGAATTTTCACTGTCAGTAAATGATGAACTAATCCTTTCAGACCAGTCCCTTGATTCTTCCAGTTCAAACGCCTCTCCATCTGCTGCAGACAACACTAAGAACATTGATGTCCAGGCAGGCCCATCAATGATTATTAGCATTAATTCTGTGCCCTCTAGATTTCCAAAGAGAAGAAGATCTTCCCTGGATGAGAAAAACAAACCTCCTCCCCCCAAAACAGTAAAAATAGCACCTTTTAACCGAGCACCATCTGGTGGTAGCTTGTCATTTCCCCATGAAACTGGACAACCAGAGATAGGAGCAGTTGCTGATGGCGGTAAAAGCTTGATTTGTCATGCTGTGCCTTTAACTGCAAATATGATTTCAAAAACAAGAAAGCCACCAGGGACAGAGATGGTTTCCATTGGAAAGGCAGATGCTTTTGTTGCATGTATACCAATGTCTTGTGAAGGAAAATTTACCCCTAGTCAGTGTACAATACCCAAACAAAACAAGTGCAGCTGTAAAGCTCATATCAAGAAACAAGTACAGGGAATGAATAAGAATGATCCTCTGGTGATTGATTCTGATGATGATGATGATGAAGAAGAAGTAACAATTGTAAATGAAGTGAGACCACCTTCAACTACAAATACACCTACAAAAGGTAAAAACGAAAAATGCTGTTTGTTTATGTCTATTTAGAATATGAGGGGGTTGAATTGAATACTAAGAATACCTGTATCATGATAACCAAATACCAAACATAAATTTTTAGTTATTGATAAATAACTTCAAAATTTTTTTTGTGAGGATCATTTTGAACCATACTCTTAAATACAACAGTTGGTGTCTTGTTATAAAATCCTAAAGTATATAAAAATTGACATAATTTTATATGTATTTTACAGTGATTTCATCAATTGATATCAAAACTCCTACAACTTCACACTCCACAGATATTGTGAGTAATATGCAATATTATGTTGTTTTTTACTGTGATTTTCAATATTACATGAAGTCAGGCAGATTTGAACCTGTTTGATGAATATTGGTTTTCCAATAGGAATCTACATTCATAAGGTTGAAGTACTGAAAATCACAAGAATTGTCCTGTAAACTGAAATAAATGTCTCTTTTATTTTGATTTTTTTGTTATCAGGATGTAACAACAACAAATATGACAACAGCACCAAATAAAGAAACACCAACACATACAGACTCACAACCCAGTGCCTTGCAAAAGGAACCTATGGCTACTCCATTATCTCCCAGACATCGTGAGTATATACTGAGTCATAAGTAGCAACTAAAGGGTTGTTTATCGTGTTGCTAATCAGAGTTGATAGTTACTTTGTAATGTGCATTTCAGGAGCAAGATTGAGTGCAGATTTTAAGTCACATCAAAAACCGTGAGTTATATAACACAAAAGAATTCTTGTATTAAACTTATCAATCTCTAGTTTTCCCATTTATTTTCTGCCTGAAATATATATTTTTTTACCTTTTTTCTTTTTGGAAGTGCTCCACAAATATCCTCGCAAGCTATTAGGACTTTAGACCTTTCTACATCAACTCAAACATCTATTGTTGCAACAAAATTCAATGACAGACTGAAGGCAATTGAGAGAGCGGCATCGTCCAGTGCTACATCTGCTACATCTGCTGTATCTGAATCTTCACCATCACCTTCATCATCGCCATCTTCGAAGCCTGTAGGTAAGTAAACCAAGCTAATAAAATAATTTACATTTCTAAATGACTTCCTTCTCTTATGCAATCGTACAGCTAGTGTGTCTTGTCTGACATTTCATATCTGTTTATATTTTAAAGAAGAACATGATGTTGTTTCGAGTCCAGATAATCTACTAAAAATGCTACAAGAAATTAAAAGAGAAAGGTAACAAGAAACAGGAACTTTGTTCTAAAAAACAGTGTTCAATTATGAAAATGAACGATAAGCTTTTGGCATTCCACACAGCTTCATATTGGGGCCACTCCATTTTCTGCAACTTCAATGCAATTAATTGCTTTATTGCAATTATTCATAATCTCCATCGTTGTCGCTATTTTCAGATCATTTTAGGTGATTTTCCTTACTTTTTTCCCTTTTTCGCAGACCTTACAAAAAGTTACGCGTTACAGCTCGAAATCTCCACCAAGCAGTCAAAAATAACAACCTTAGTAAAGTATTAGCTTTGCTTGGTAAGAAGAATGTTCTACAGATAATTAAGTTATTATTATTAGTAAAAACATTTAAGATAAATAGAAGCTCCTYGTTCTAAATCTCCTTTCTTGTTACTTGTCTTGTCATACTCAAGTCGAGGGCTGCAAACCCAACGTACAAGTGGAAACAGAGAAAGGACGAACTGCTGTGCATGCTGCTGCAGCTGGTGGATTCTTGGACATCATAACATGCTTAAAGATGGTATGTTTATTCATTTATCTCCGCATAGACATTACAGTTTTTCTATCATAACTCGGTGACTTCTTTATTACTAAATTGACGTGTTCTCTCGAGTTTCGGAAATGCTGCGCTACCGTTTACGCCTATCTGCGCAAGAAAGTCATAATGGAAGTTATCTCCGAACCTCTAATATCATATTCCCACTGAATGGACTTACACCTTCGACACGCATGAAGCCGCAAGATCTAACTCCTAAACACTGACAAGAATTTTAACTTTATCTTTTTGACCCGTTTTTTTTTTCGTAGTCTGGTGGTGATCTGGACGTACTGGACTATGACATGCGTACCCCGTTGGTAAGAATCAATGTTGAAAGCATTATTCAAATGTCATTCATCACTAACAATAGGTCTATAATTAATGTTAATCTCCATACAAATCAACGCTTATGTTGAAGACTTCGATCAGTATTTTTGATATCAGTATGGATATCTCACGTCCTATCTTATTCAATGCTCGTCTAATTTTGATAGGTCGGTATAATAACAAGTCCTGTAATTTTGAGATTCAAGATAAATCCAACGTTGCTAAACGGTATTTATCGGAAAATACAGATTTTATAGAGGCTAAAGAGGTAAAAAATTTTGTGTCTCTGTCACCTACGTTCTCCGATATTATTTTTCTACATCTTTAATGATCCACTAGACCTCAAAAGCAAGTTGGTTCTTTTGAAATACTACAACCTGTCGTATAGTAAGACATGGTGCAGGCTAGAGACAGGTTACTATGGCACATGCCTCATATCGGTCGTGTGTTTAAGTGATTTACAATGATTACAGTAATACTCTAGGTGCTCTTTTTGGGGGTTTATTTATCATAATAGAACAAACTTTTCATTGCTTACAAATTTCGCAGTATGGTTCTCAAGATTAGCCGCTTTAGAACATCGACCAAAAAATAATCTTTTTACTTTTAATAAAAGAGATTTACTAATTTACTAAACACAACCATTAACATCTTCATTCAATTGATTCAACCAAGCTCGTTCATACCTCAACAACAGCAGAAAGGTTCAGTTGATCGAACCTTAGTATTTTATTTTTTAACATTTACTTGAGATATTTAGTCATGTGGATTGATTAGGGACTACAGAATAGATAATGTCTTATCTAGTAGGTTGTAGTTTAATGACTCCCACGAGTAAAGACTTGCATATTGGATTATCGCTTTACCTTGCCATTTTTAGTTCTCTGTAGTCACTTCATATAAACTTACCTGGTTGGTTCTGCGATCAGTTGTTTTTAGTTTTCCAATCCAATCGAGGCATCAATCTGTTGTGCTTCTTCACAAGATTTATGTTCCAATTTCGTTAATATTTGCAGACGTTCATAACTTGTCCTTCCTGTTGTTGTTATGGAGACAATGTTATTCCTTTTTACAAGTTGAAAACGTGCCAATTTAATGAAGAAGTTTAGTTTAGTATTTTGGCGTGTATTTTAACTTACTTTGACAATTGTTTTTTAGTTCGACGCCGTTGAAAACAATAGAATCAAAACTGTTATATATCTGATAGATGCTGGAGCATCTCTGCGTGTCAAGGTAAGGAGACTCAAGTTATCAAGGTTTGTTGATGATTGGTTTAATTTTGGTTGTATCCACTGTTGCAGGACCAAGGTGGGATGACTTTACTCCATGTCGCTGCAAGAAGAGGGCATGACGAAATCATACGCATTCTTCTGGACTCCAAAAAGTTTAATATCAATCAAAAGGTTATTATTGGCCATCTTTGATTGTAGAGAGAGAAGGGGGAGGGGGGGGGGGTGTTAGCCAGTCATCTGTTTCTTAAAAATTAAATCTGTATAAAAGTTACATCGTCAAAGATATTATATAGTGTACTTTGATTGCATTCCAGGATGACGGGGGGTGGACCGCGATCATGTGGGCAGCGGAAGACAAAATGGTAGAAACGGCAAAACTTCTGTTACACAGAGGCGGCAATGTTCATCTTAGAGATTTGGTAAATAGAGGATACAAATTTTGTCTCGTAAACGCGATTAGAAATTGGTGTACCATAGAGATCTGTTATGGGACCTCCCAAGGCAAACAAACTTTTAGAGTGACTATGGAGTAGTTTATTTAGCTATAGAGATTTTCAGCCGTCTTCTTATTTTTTGATGTACGGTAATAGTATTCTTCACAGATCAGTTCCGGGACCTTACATTTCTTACCATTTTTTTGATTTTATATTCTACTCTTTTATGCTTCTTTCTGCAGGAATTAAACATTCCTCTTCACTGGGCAGCATTTGCAGGGAGTTATCAAATGTCACTGGTGCTTCTTGAAAATCGATCAGACCTTCATGCGATTAACAGACACGGTGAAACCCCTATGTATGTAATTTCCATTCCACCCTCCCATCCATCCATCCATCCATCCATTCATCCACAGCCTCCCATCCATTTATCCATCCATTCATCCACAGCCTCCCATCCATCCTATCCATCCATCCATTCATCCACAGCCTCCCATCCATCCCATCCATCCATTCATCCACAGCCTCCCATCCATCCCATCCATCCATTCATCCACAGCCTCCCATCCATCCATCCATCCATCCACAGCCTCCCATCCATCCATTCATCCACAGCCTCCCATCCATCCCATCCATCCATTCATCTTCCCATCCGTTCATATATACATCCAAACCATCCATCCGTCTCATGCGTCCACCCCATCACAGTATTATTCTATTTCATCTCCCTTTCGAATCTCATCCCATTTCATTTTATTCTATCYACTTCCAACAAATCCACCCGTCTATCTATTTGTTTATTCTCATTCAATGGAAATTTGATTGTCTGTTCTTCATCGGTAGATCTGTTTTTAACAGCCTGTTTCCTTTCAGACACATCGCGGCGAGAGAAAACAACTACTCATGCGTGCAGTAAGTATAACCAATATGTTTTTCCTGTGTATACTTAGGCCCCGTCCACACGTATCCGCAAATTTTTGTATCCGCAAATTTTACGAAAACGGATGCGTGTGGACGATGAAAACGATTYGAATACGCTGCGTGTGGACGCAAACATTTTCGTATCCGCAAAAAATAATTTGCGGATACAAAAATTTCCGGATACGTGTGGACGAGGCCTTAGGTTGTAGGATAGAGTAATCTTATGTACTTGTTTGTTGTAGATTATTTCTTAATCGAGGAGCACGTATTGACATCACTAACAACGAAGGATCAACTCCATTACAAGTAAGAAAATATTTTTACATGAATTTTCTTCCCTTCATTTATCTTTCATATCCTTTTGTATCCTCTTTTCCCTTTTCTTTTTTATCTTTCCTCTTGTCATTGCCATAGTTTCTTTATTCCTTAGGTCGCTTTGCCTGAAACTAAGTCTCGCCAGCTCATCGAAACCAAGAAGTTACTTTTGCAGTGTCAACCCCAGCCTCAATACAGGCTGCTCAGTTGGTAAGATAGCTTACTGTTTATACCTTATATCTCATAGTCAACATCTTTCATGCATCATAATTTTTCTTTTTTTCAGTGACATATCGAGGGGCCAAGAAAACGTAGCAATCCCATGTGTGAACGAGGTATGTCATGTAACAACAGTACTTCGTACAGTTAACCTATAGTATATCTAGTTTCTCTCTTCCTAACATTTTGTTTTCTAGGTTGATGACGAGCCGTTTCCAGAATTCAGTTTTGTTAAGGAGTGTTGTGAAGTTGGTGGTGCGGGTATTGAATGGAATATTAACACTATCCAGGTACATAGTTGAACGTTCTTTCTGCAGTTGGCTTGCGTTCTCGTTTGGGCAAATGTTTGGCAAAAGACTCGGCCATTAATAATCTTCTTTATTGTATGGTGTGTTGTGGAAGCGTGCAACCCGAGTGTTCGCTTATCTTGCAGGCTTGTATATGCGAAGGAGATTGTGGAAACAACCCGAACTGTTCTTGTGGTAAAATGTGCGATGAAGAAGTCATCTGGTACGACAAGGTGCGTGTGTGAGAACCATTTGTATACTCTTAGGTCTACTTATTTTAAGGATGTTTCTTTTGTTTCGATTCAAGGAAGGGTTGCTGTGCCCGGAGATCCACAAACTAGACCGTCCGCTTGTGTTTGAATGTAACAAAATGTGTAAATGTTGGAGTTATTGTCGCAATCGAGTGGTTCAGAAGGGAATGCAGTATCCTTTGCAGTTATTTAAAACCAAAAAGAAAGGTAAAGCTTCTAACAGTTCCACCAACACGGTGGCCTTGACGTCATCATGTACCGTTAGGTTTTGGTACTGATGTTATTATGCTATGATAGGTTGGGGTGTTCGTGCACTGTGTGCGATTCCAAAGGGAACGTTTCTCTGTGAGTACACAGGAGAGCTGATCTCAGATGCCGAGGCTGACACAAGGGAAAGTGATGCTTACCTTTTCGATCTGGACTGCAAGGTAATAAAAGATCACGTGGTCTTTTCCCGCCATCTTGAAAACCGTGCTGTGTCGTGTAAGTGCCTGCGTATCCGAACACTTACATAGGAAGTGAACCAGTGATCTCACCATGCCGCAAAATCTACTCTAAAGTACTTTAAACCATACCTCTGCTAAGACATACTTTGTGTCTCTTTTTTACTTAGGAGAGCGAACACGAACTTTATTGTATAGATGGCGGTAGATACGGTAACATCAGTCGTTTTATAAACCATTCATGTGAGCCCAATACCATTCCTACTCGTGCCTTCGTTGATCATCAGGTACGTCATGATATGATACTTGTTCGTACTACTGTAGATATGAGCGTTCTGCTTTACTAATGATCATCATCTTTTTATCTTTTAGGATATTCGATTCCCGCGAATAGCATTTTTCTCCTCAAAAGATATAGACATGTATGAAGAAGTTTGGTACGTATTACGACATTAATTTGAAATACATAGAAGGGCAACCGGCATGTAATTTAGGGATTGTGGTTACGATCTCAAGAGGTCGAAATTTCGCGCCAGATTAAACTAGCTTCTTAGTAGGATTTTGAATTTTTGACATGAGTATCCGGTTTTAACATATCGTTTTGTTTTTCAGTTTTAATTACGGAGATCGCTTCTGGGAAGTCAAAAAAGAGGAATTCTTCTGCCAATGTGGGACACCTTCCTGTAACTATAAAGCACCGAACTCATGACACTCCACCTTGTGTTCTAGGATCATTATTATCATCAAGGGATATTATTAATATATTACTTACCTCTAATTTCATCCCATTGGTCCTTTGCCAATAGTTTCTCAATGCTGTAAAAAAAGTTTTTATGTGTATATATTTATTAAGACAGTCAATATCTCGTTTTTATTGCCTTGTTACTTTTTATTAAATATTTTATTTCATTATCTAAAGCGTAGCTTTACAAAAACATTACCGACCTAGAGGAAAGTTAGAAGCCAATGATTCAGGTAGGCAGCTAGTACCGGACTATGTGCTCTGGGAACAGATGAATGATGAGTAAATAAAGGAACGAAAAACGAATTCTGAAGGCRATTTAGTAAAAGAATTTGAACGATAATCCTGCAAGTGAGGAGAAACATTGTCGTGAACAAAAGGGAAAAGCCGCTCCCAAGCACCGACAGATGTACGAGTCTGGCATTGATAGGTGCAAATGTTTTGGAGTCAAATTACTTCCAGAAAGGTTAATTTRTCAGTAATCACATTTGGATTATGATTTAGTCTTTCTCGAGCTAGCTTAGCAATAGCTTTTTAGCTTTTAAAGCTTAACATTACGAAATGAAATATATAGTTTTGCATTTTTTACATGTATGCAAAACATTGTCGAGAATTGACGTTTTGGCTATTCTTATATCTGATAGCCATCACATCGAAACTATGAGTATAATATTGCCTATTGTTACAGATTTCATAACTCAGCTGGGGTAGGCGCTTTTGCCTACTTTTCCCGCCAAAATTTTGCCTCTGGTTTCTGAATTTCAGAAACTTGAACTATCTGGAAGGATTTTAAAAAGTACTACTTATTTTGGCATAAACCACAATTACGATCAGCTTCAAAAGTGTTGTGTAAAATAAAATAAAAGTACTACTTATTTTGGCATAAACCACAATTACGATCAGCTTCAAAAGTGTTGTGTAAAATAAAATAAAAGTACTACTTATTTTGGCATAAACCACAATTACGATCAGCTTCAAAAGTGTTGTGTAAAATAAAAAGCATAACTTCGAAAAAGTTGCGTTCATTGAAGTGCGTTTTTGTACGAAAATATTGTGCTTTTTAATCGTTGCCATAGCAGCATCATGGTTTGGTATCCATGGCAATCGTGGTTTCTTTATCCCTTTATGCCGTTGCTTCATCTTCTGAATGATCTATCTTCAAGGTTAACTTGCCATGGGAGAGGTTTTCGTATTCATGCTCATGATCAAATCTTTCCCAGTCGTTCTGGTGTTGATCTGGTGCTGCTGCTTGAGCGGGTTGTTTGTCCTTCGGAAAAGAAATCTCGGAATACTCATGTTTTGGATTAAACTCCATTGGTCCATTTTTCTCCCAACGTGGGATGCTCGGATTCTCCATCACCGTGTCGTAATGGGGATCACTGGGAATCTCCGTCTTTGTCTTAAATTCGATGCCCGGTGTCTCCTCCATTACCTCGTAAGTAGGATTACTTGCAGCTTCCATGTCACTCCTGGTATTAACGTTATGTGACATTGCAATCGCGTCTGTTAGAGGCGGGGCCAAATCTCCTGGCTGTTCAACGCCGTATCCTGGGTTGCTGAAAGTTGCAAAGTCGTTGGGTACAGCAGCGTTGTCATTTTTTGAACTTCGTCTCTGAAAACTTCGTTTTCTAAAAAAAAATAACGTATGTCTGTGTCGCATGTATAGTATTATAGAATATTTGCAATAAACGTGAAAAGAGACGTTAAGGAAAATTTGCTCCGCAAGTCGAGCAATTTCAAAACTTTGGAAACACTTGAGAAATTAATCCTTAATTTTACTCGGCTGAATACGAATTTTCAAACCAAAAATAGCGTGATATCCATGCCCATACACTGAACCGGAGGGAGCGGTGGGATTTAGGGGGTCACTAGCACCTTTACAATAAACACAGTGGAAAACAAGGAAGGGGTCATTTTCATGCAACAGCAGAAAGGAGGGGTCACATTTCTAATGTGTGTTACAAAGCGAATTCCACCACCGTCCGGGTAAGGTAAAAAAAGTGTTAAAACGTACCTTGAGAAGTAAATCAACGCCGCCATGGCAACGACAATGAGAAGAAGAACCACTACCAACACGGCTGCGATGGCACCTTTGGACTCTTTCTTAGTTTGTTGTTTATGAGCCGATGAATCGGATGTGTCCTCGACCTTCAAGACCTTCGCATTCGTGAAGTTTGACTGCAATTTCAGGTTAATCTTTTTTTCCGAGTTGATAATCTGTTGTCTCAAGGTTTGTGCGGGAAGGACATTACTCCCGGTGATGTTACCATAGATTACTGCTACTTTTACAACAACCTGATTTCCATCATGCTTGGGTGGACTAACGATGAAAACGTTATCTGCTGTAATGTTTGCATGATTGTCAGCACTTCTGCGTCTTCTTGCTGTATTACTTGGGGTACTAAAACAAATATATATCAAGATACAATAGTCTAGCAATGGGATAATCGATTCTCAATATACTAGAGTCATACCCGGCAGAGTGCTTCTATGGGTTCTCTAGTTTTACTGTCCAAAAAAGCTCCTAAATTCATTTGGATACACGGGATATMTAGATCGACATGAATGAATCATTAAATGAATTCGCATTTCTTACTTTTGTTGATTCAAGATCTGTGCCAGCACGTCTTTTAACAAAACTGTCAGGGGTTCCACCTTAAAAGAACAAATGTCATAGAATGGATGTGAATCAGCAATCAATAGTAGAAATATTAAGAGTGATTTATTAAAGGTACTGACCTGCTTTTTAGCAATACCATCGATGGTCACTGTCACTACTCCTTCTCCTATAAAGAAACAAACGACGTGTATCAAGCACAGAACATTTTCAGATTTTTCTTCACGCAATTGACTATTTTACATAGGCAAGAATACATGGAGTGAAAATCGTAAAGGCAGTTTGGACTTTATAGAAAACTTGAATCAGTTTTGTCTCACCTATGTATACCTCACAAGACCATTTGGGCACGAAGAGGTCAGGACAAATACACTGGTAGGAAGGTGCTTTGGACTGACAGGTTCCTCCATTAAAACATGGGTTAGACTTGCAAGGATCTTTGCTTGTTGTGGGAGGTTGTTTGGGCGTAGGTGATGGAGAAGGAATGTTGGTATGTGATTCAGTGTTGGTAGGTTTCTGAGTGTTGGTAGTTTTTTCAGTGGTGGTAGGTTTCTGAGTGGTGGTAGTTTTTTCAGTGGTGGTAGGTTTCTGAGTGGTGGTAG